GGCAGGATGCATTCCACCCCAAAATGATAACACCCAGACAGATGGGTCACATTATCCTGTGCACTGCTCTCACCCTTCCTCCAGCACATCTGCAGGCTCTGGATTGGGATTGTCATTCCAAGCTGTGTTGTCAGGCCCAGCAAGAGGCCTAAAAGGCAGTTTAGTTGGTTTAGGATGGCCACAGATGAGGCCTCCCCTGTGTGCAGAGCAGAGCGCTCTGTGGTGGCCGTGTGTAGAGAGGTGTGGTGTATTCCCACCACCAGCAGTGGGACGTTATCCCAACCTTCTCAGTACCGCAGGAAACTGATGACAAGACAAAGCTCGGGTCCTTGGCCGTCTCCTCAAACTGTTTCCAATTATTGAGGTGGTTTGGAGTGGCCCCTGTGCTGCAGGGCTTTGCTTAATAGCGCTTTTATTGATAGCTGTTGGCAGGCAGGCGTGATTTCCCTTGCTCCCATCTCACCCAAAGTCAGACAGCCCAGAAATATGAGTCTAAACGAATGAGCCATTAGTGCCAGCTGGCTATTTCCAATTGAGTTATATCTTTTCTCTATTATATTACATTGTTGCCTAAAGGTCTTTGCTTCTGCACTAAATTTCCCTAGCTCGCTTATTTTATTATGTATCACGACTGAATAGCGTACAGCAGGTTTCGTGCATTTACTTCCAACATGCTGAAAAAGAAATTGCCATTTTTCTCAGGTCCTTGCAACAGATACTCTGAATTACACTTTTTAGAGGGTGGCATTTATGGCCTTGCCTGACAATTGAAAGGTACCAGAAAAGCTGTTGCAGATTCCGGACATTAAGTCACTGGAATATTTAAAGGCCCCAGCTGGTTTCTGGCTGGTCTCCTGGACAGACAATATTTCAGTGTTGAAGAGAAAGCCCCATGTGGGGACAGAACATAGAAATAAGTATGTTGCAGAAACAGTAAAATGCCTCATGCCATAGGATGTGGAAATACTTCTGTAAGAAGAGACAGGTAAAATTGCTTATGTGAATTCAGACCCAGCTTGGTAGTGACAGGACCTCTATATCCCTGACAGCTTTTAAGCTCTAGCCTATGTCTGCAACCACCTTCAGCATCATTTTGCTATCTGACTTGAATTATATTCAACAGACATTTTTTCTCTTTACTAATCACCAAGTACAGCTCCAAATTTATACAAGGACCACATCAGAGTCCAAGTCCCTTAATGTACTAAGCCTGTGCCAAGTCTTTACACAACTCATGCTCAGCACTTCTTTAACCTCCCCATTCTACTGATTACAGCAAGCATTTTATCTGCTTGTTATGATTTCTGATGCTGCCTGAACTGTTACATCCGTCATTAGGAGAATTTTTCCCCTGTAGGTTGCTATTTGCCTGTACATGATGTATTCCATGAACACCTTGAAGCATTGCCCAAGTCACCAAAAGATCCTGACCCTTAAATTTGGAATAGAGATGAAAAACAACCATGGAAAACATCCAGGTGGTATTTTTAGGATACACGAGTGAGAAAAATGGTCAAGCTTTCACACCAACTTCGAGAATGTGCTTTCACTAGAAATGCTTCTGGTACCATCATATGTGTCTGAAAATGGCCTTCTTTTGCCAAATGGCAGCTGGGTTTATTTTATTTACAATGCCTATAAACTGTTTCTGTTATTCTGGAGCTTTCCTCTGCTCATCAGGTTATAGGATTCTTCACATGGTTAAATGCAGTTCAAAGAAGATATGTGTAGCAGATGAGGATGACTAAGCCTATGCTGTGTCTGTATCAACTCTATACTCTCACCTGCCATTAAATTCACATTTTTTGACTGCAAAGGAGAAAGAAGGGGAAAATTACAGTCTAAAGAGAAAATGGAAGACAGGTACACATTATTTCTCTCCCTCATGCTCCGATTTTCTCTCTCTGTAACTGATGTTTCATTCCCTGAAACCAAACTCTTACGAGAAGTTGCAGCTGATGCATAAAAAGTATTCCAGAAACTTCTCAAACGTTATCCTGAGTTATGAATCAAAAGCATCTCATCTGACCTACACTGACTCCTGAGGGGAGACAAACTGGCTGGCAGCAGTGAACCAAAATCAATGTTTCTCATAAATACAAATATGCATTTTCTAGGTTGTGCTCAGATTCTTCAACATCACCGTCATTGTCACTGCTGACAATAACCAGTGGGTGCTCCGATAAATCATCACAGAAATGACGAATGGCTCCTCTGGGGTTATTTCTGTGTGATGGTGGGACAGCTGATCACATCAGACTCTTGCACAGTGCAACATAAAATCTGCATTATTTTATGAAAATGAGCAGTTCTGGTCAAGCCCATTTGTGCACAGTCCAAATGACCTCACTGCAGCTGTACAAGCTCTGCTGCAGACATCTCAAACTGCCAATCATCTCAAAGGGACTTAAACTCTAATAATATCTATAAATCCAAACCTGGTTTAGCTTATTTCCCACTGGCATCTTTAAATTTGCACGTGCTCCCTGAAATGTGATGGAAAGCTTCAACTGAAGATTTATTTCATGTCGTGTGTAGGTAAATTGTACCTGCTAGAAGAAGGATGTGAGTGGAGAGAACTCACTCTGAAAAGTAAGAATAGATTTAAACTCTGTTATCTAGCCCACTGCTCTGAAAGGAAATAAACCCCCCAGCACTGACCTCTGCAAGCAGATATTAATAAAGGGTGAAGGATAGAAGTTTTTACAATCCCCATCTCCCTTTCCCATTGCAGTTAATTACAAGCTGAGGACACCACTCACCTGACTGGCCGCCTCTCTTGTATCAGCACACCAGGTGATTTCAACCCTCAGAACAGAGCAGGATCTCTTTGAATTGGGGCCAAAGGACAGGATCTCACAGCAATGACCTGGGAACAGGCAGTCCACAGAAGCTGTGTCTGCCCCATCCCTGGAAGTGGTAAAGGCCAGGCTGGATAATGCCCTGAGCAACCTGGTCAAGTAGAAGGTGTCCCTGCCCGCAGGATGGGGTTTGAACTTTTAGGTCCCTTCCATCCAAACCTTTCTGGGATTCTATTATTCTATGCACAATACAGATTTTTCTTGTGCTCATGGACCTGGAGCAGCTCCCAGAAATTTTGCTATCATCTCCTAGTACAGATAGTGGAACTATCTTGGGCTGGTTATGAAACTTCTCTTACCCTTTTGTCAGCCCTTAGGTTGAAAAAAGTCACATCTGCAAAAATATATAACGGGACCTTTTGTTGTGTCCTAGGCTGTGTGTGTATGTTCTGTAGCATCACATTTGAACCCAGTCACTGTAAAACCAAAACCTGGTAGTTACATCTTCTCCATCATTCATCACCATTTCAAATCTCCCTTTGTCTGCCAGCTCAGAAAGATTCATCCAGCATCGAAACATCAGATCAGGTTCTTTCTCCTTTTCTAGGTCAGTATCAGTGGCAAAAATAAAAAAGAAACCTAGATAACTCAGGGGTTGGGTTTTGTTCCTGAGAAGGATTTTTGGTGGTTTTCCCTTTTTTTTTTCTTTGCCTTTTTTCTGGATGTACAAATACAATGTAGTGCTAATACTTCACAGCTGTCTCACCTTTGAACTGCTGACAGATGCAGGAAGCCAGGTTTAGCTAATATAATTAACTAGTGTGACATGAAGAACTTCCAGGATATTCCTGCTCTGTGAGGACAGCAGTGTGTGGCTGCTGCCCTCCATTTGACTACTGCCCTCACAACAGTGTGGTGATCCTTTCATCAGATTTGGGAAGTGCTGCAGAATTCCAGCTGCCAGGATGGATGTGAACCTGGCTTTTCAGAGAGCTCACCTGGGGCTAGTGCAGGGCAGCGAGGAAGCACAAGATTCTCTGAGCTCTCCTTATAATTCTGGCTGCAAATCCTTCACAGGCAGCCTGCAATCACTGTCATTCAGGGAAAGAAACTCACCCTCGGACCTAGAAACCCCTGTAATCCAATAATTTTGTGGCCTTGGGCAAATGACACACTGCCAGGATTTTAGGCTGAAAGCGGGGAGGAGATGCAGCGACACCATGAGGAGTAACTAGCTAATGCTTTTAAAAGGTTCCCAATCAGACACCAGGGCACTGCTCCCAGGAACACTGCCTATTGTTCCATCAGGCTGCATCCTGAGAACGGGGCTCACATAAAAGGGAGACACAAAACAGAAGCGGAAAAAAATAAGGAAGATGGGGTAACAGAGTTGCAGACACACAAAAAAACGATTCATTCCAAGGAGTGGCACATGTTGTTTTCAATGCAATAAATGCTACGTGGTAAGAACCTCAGGGCTTCACGTGGGAGGAAGATGAGCAGGAAGGCAGGGCAGGAGCAGTAGGCAAGGCAAGAGGCGAGCATCCAAAGGACAAAGAAGGAGAAGCCTCCACCGGCTGTCTCCTCCTGCCACCAAAACGTTCACATCTTTGTGCCAGCTACTCCTCCTCAGAGATGCGTAGCGTGAGCTGCTGAGACCTCTTAATGAAAACTGTACTCCTCATCCCCCGGCTCTTCCACTCTCCCAAATATCCCCCTTACATCCTTTTGGCAGGCAGTGTAAGACTCGTGGGATGTAAAGTAGCTCTGCCTTGTCATGTGTGAAAAGCTGGTCTTAACTGGGAAGCTGTTTATAGAGAGGTGTGAATGTGGTGAGACACAAATACCGAGATCCCCACTCAGCTACAGAGAAGGGAGTAAACATTCAGCACACCTCAGTGTCCCAGCCTTGGAAACACACTGCAAAGGAGGGATCAGCAAAGCACCAGGGCCTTTGAAGCCTCACTTTTTCTATCTGTTCACATATTGAAATCCTCAAACTCACCCATTTATTTAAGAAAAGAGACTTGTAATATTTCTTGCTTTCAGCTTTGGCTTAGTTAGTCCCTGACATATTTTAGTCTTTGGGGCACCTTCGCTTGACAATGCACAGGGAAAGAGATCTTTCCTGCTGTTGTCAGGCAGATTTTGACCATTTAAAAAAAAACAAACTGCATCCAAACAAAAATCAGATCTTTCCCTAATTATTTTCCAGTGAAAAACTGGACAAAAACTCATTCATTCAGTAGTTCTGGCACTGACCTTGCACAAGGAACGCACGCTCAGATTCCTGGCCTGAATGCAAAAGAGCAAAACCTCCTGCTTGTGACTCCCAGATCCCTGTCAGTGGATCCTGAAATCAGCCTGCTGCTGCTGTGCTTATCTGGCTCCATCACAGAGAATGTAACTATTTATACACAGTGCTTTGGTCCCAACAGGAGACTGCCAGGGCGCCTCCAAAACCAGAGCCCACAATGATGTGCCAACACCCCCTCAGATGCTGGAAAGTAGTTCATAGTCCCAGGTTCTTCAACACACTTGGAGCGTATTTGTCTTTAACAGAAGGTAATTTTATTCATTGTCACAGAATCCTTGAACCCACAAATTCTCCAGGGTTTGGAGAGAGGATGTGAACACAGAATAGCACACAAGGAATAGGAATCAAGGGCTGGAAATGGGAATTGCCACATCAGTCACAAGTGCACAGATCTACACCATATCCTCCAGGCAGCTCAAGGCCAGCCAGAGGATCAGAAACAAAGCCTGCAAACAGAAGGCTGGCCACGCTACCAATCCCCCTTACCGTAAAAGTGCTCTACTGTGTCCAAAATCCTGTTTAGAATAACTTTTCAGGAAGATTGGATGCATCTTTCATTGGGTGTGTTTGAAAGGTCATGGAGGAGGAATGGAGGAACACCAGTGTCACCCCAGCTGTTCCAAAAGGGCAGGATGGGCCAGCAGGCTGTGCTGCCATTCAGCCAGACCTGGACAGGCCGGAGAGCACTCAGGGAAGCTCAACACAAGAAAGTGTGGGGTCCTGTAGCTCAGGCACAATAACCCCATGCACCCGTGCGGGTGGGAGCCTGATCTGCTGGCAAGGGGCTCTGTGGAGGACAGAGCACTGCCAGGAGCTGTCCACAGAAGCTGTGGAATCTCCTCTGGAGATGTTCAACTCTGCCTGGACATCACTCCGTGCAACTTGCTCTGGGTGAGCCTGCTTTTAGCAGGGAACTGGACTAGGTGATCCCCACAAGTCCCTTCCAACTCCAAACATACTGTTCGTGATTTAAGGAGCGCTGTCTTGTGGGGGCTTTGCATGGAAGCCGCTATGAGAGAAGAATGCAAAGCTGCCAATTATTCATCTAGAACATATATTACCTGTCACTAATCTCCTTTCCAACCAATTCCCAAATTACTTTAATAAACCATTTTTCTCATTTACTAAATTATATTACTTAGAAGTATCTACTTTCGATCAAAGCCAAAAAAATACCCATGTGACAGTGCAAATGTCCATAAGGTTAAATTCCATAAGCCTTCCTGTGTTGGTGGAGGATTGAACTACTGGAATAAGAAATGTGCACCTTTACAATTCTGATTGTCTCTGTCTTGGTTGGATGATCCAGTGCCTTGATGATTTAAAATTTTGATAATGTAGTGGGATAGAAACAAGACTTTTCAATCACACTTACTTGTGTTTTTTTTCTTTGTAAAGACTTGGAGTTGAGGTATCCACTTGAGAAACTTCATTCATTCATGAAGGTTTTCCTCAACTCTATTTGCTACAATGAACAAGGCAGGCAAATTTTGGCACAGCCCCATTTTTGTGCTTTACTTTCTGGAAAGATTTGCTCAGAAAAAAACCCCCAGAAATCACCACTTTTACCTAGAGAGCACATGTTCAGGTGCCCGTTTTGTCTGAGGAACTTCCCCAAGTACCTTAAACTGAGCTCTTGCTTTTAGTTCTGGTACTTACCTCTCTTTGGAGCACAGGACATGGCAATGGTTCTGTATGATGTTTAATTCAGTTGATTTCTTGCTCTAACATGACAGAGGGGCATGTTTGGAACACCCTCTTCTCCATCCCTACAAAAGGTTTGTGTTTAGGTACCAATGTGCAGCAATACCTTTATCAAATGAGCTGGGTGGCCTCCAAAGGCAGTCTCTTACCTCCATTCTCTGGCTGGCTGTCACAAGCAGAGTCCCTTGGTGTTACTCAAGATCCTGTGAGTGTCACCACCCTGGGCAGCTGTCCTCTCTGAGAGCCAGCCCTGGATACCTCAGCAGGGTGGGAAAAGGAGTGGCAAGAGAGCTGAGCAGTCTCTTCTTCCCCAGGGCCGTTCTGTTTGCCATGAGCTCTCTCCCAGTGCAGTGGGCTGTGTATTAATAAATTAATGCTCCCCTCTGCCCTGCACCAGCTTGCTGGCTTCTGGGAATTACCTGACAGTGACCAGGAGACTTGGTGGCAGACACTGCTGCTACTCCTACCCTGACATGGAACAGCACCTTTCCATTATGGGCTGATGTAAGAGGAGAGCAGAAGTAAGAGCAAGGCCCTGGGCTGTAGTGAGGTGTGTCAGATTGCTGATAAATGCTGTGCTGCAATTTAACACAACTTTTCAGAGGGTGGCTGTGCACACCCAGCCCTTGCTCTTTTAAGGAAACATCCCTGTCTTAACCACTTCTCACATTTAGCCATTTAACTTTGTTAACTGTTTAGAGGTCACTGTGAAGAAAAAGGTTATACAGGCTTAATTCCCATTAGTTCCTAAGATGCCAGAACCCCAGCTGGGTTGGAAGTCCTGTTTTCTTCCAGTTTGTCTTTTTTTTGCACTGGTTTTCTTCCCCCCCC